TAGGGAAAGGGAAAAATATTAAGATGACAGTGGAAATAAAGATGGTTGACATCATTGGTTCTATCATGGTGATAGAACTCCCTGATGTAATGTGATGAGAAGGGCAATTTACCTCTGTGGTACTCTTCCCAAAGACTCATAACCTCAGTCTAATCTTAAAAAAAATCAGATAAACCCAGGCTGGGGGACGTTCTACAGGATACCAGGCAGTACTCAAACTGTGACGATTATGAAAACAACGAAGACTAAGAAACTGTCACAAACCAAAAAAGACTAGAGAGACAAGACAATTGGTACCTGAGCTTAGTTTCTGGAACAGAAAGAGGACTGGAAAAACTGGTGAAATCCAAATAAAGTCTGCTGTTTCATTAATAGTAATGTACCAATGTTGGTTTCCTAGTTTTTACCAACGTAGCAAGGTAATATAGACATTAATAATAGGATAAAATGGGTGAGGGGTATACAAGAACTCCCTGTACTATCTCAGCAATTTTATTGTAAATCTAAAATTAATATAAAACATTTATTTTAAAAAAGGGCAGTAAATTTGATTGTAAGGAAATAAGAAGTTAGTCATGTTACCAGGGTTTTTATTTTGTTTTGAACCATTCTTATGGAGTACTTGTGGCCAGTTTTTTACTCTAATTTTTCCATAATAAGAAATTTAAAACTTCTAGAAAGGTTGAGAGAATAAAATAATGAATCCTCATGTACCCATCACCAAGCTTCAAAAATTCTCAACTTATGGCTGATTTTGTTCCCTTTATAACATTCCATACATCTCCCTACCCACAATCCTAGATTCTTTTGAAGCAAATCTCAGATTATAAAATTTAAACTATAAATATTTCAACATCTACCTTTAAAAGACAAAAACTATTCTTAAAAAAAAGAAGATACAATAAGACCGCCTCTCTACCCCCTCCCACATGCATGTACACACTCGACAAATCTTTAATTTCCTTAAAAATCAAGGAAGCATTCCCTCAATGTCCCATAAATGTTTTTTTTTTTTAATCTCCCAGTTTGTTTAAAACAAAATCTAAGATTCTTATACTGCAATTGGTTGATATTTCTTAAATCTTTTTTTTTTAATCTATAGATTTGGCCTCCATCACTTTTTTCCTTGCATTTTGTTGAAAAAAAAAAAAAAGTGAGTCATTTGTTCTGCAGTTTTCCCCAGTCTGTTTTTTGCTGAATGAATCCCCATGGGGTAATTTAACACGTTCTTTTGTCTCTTCTCTTTCCTGTAAATTAGTAGTTAGAACTAGAGGCTTAATCAGATTCAGAGGTTTACTTTTTGTTTATAAAGAATATTTCAGAGGTGAACTGTGTACTTTTAACAGGATGTTGCTAGCATTCTGTCTTCATTTATTAGCAGGAATATCTCCATAAAGAAAAATTTCTTCTCATCAACTATTTGGTTACTCTGAGAATTGCTCACATATAAAAGGCAAAATAAAACACTTGGTCATTTCCCTTTATTTACCAGCTTTAAAAACAATGATTTGGTTCCCTAGTATTCTCTAAAGATTTTTGTTTTTACATGTTACTGTGACTCATAGATTTAAAAATATTTAAAGTTTTTCATCCATTACGGTATTTCTCTTTATTGGTGCTTAAATTGTCTTGTCTTTGTCCAATGAGAACCTATTCAAGTTGGCTCTGGAATGCTTTATGCAAAACTCTAGTGTTCTGTAGGAGCTTCTTTGCTTTCTGGTATGAACTGGTGATCCAGGCTCATCTTTTACATCTCCTGGGCCAGACTTGGAATCAGCAGGTCTCTAAATACCACTAGCATTTAAAAATGGTATTTAGAGTCTGAGCAGTAAGGGTGCCGACTGCTACTGGTTTGGTCATTATTTCTAGGCCTTTCTGTGGACAGGCTAGGAAATAGATATTTTTATTAAAAAGAAAAGATACATTATAAGTTCATATTCATAGTCAAACTTAAATTCAGGACTACAGAGTTTTTAATTATCCTTCTCTGTCTTATCTCTTTCCAGTTCTCGAGTCACAAACATAATTACTCATTTGCTTTATCATCAATTTAGTCAAATAACAATACCAATACTAGCACCACAAAATGATTATTGAAAATAGTTTAAGGTTTTTTGTTGTTGTTTTGAAGGGATATTCTGCTAGGCATGTGCAGTCAAATTACTGTGTTTTAAAGTTACTTGGAATGTCTCTGTGTGGCAATGCCAACTCTAGAAACATAGGTTTGCTTTTTTTACATTTTACTTGATTTGGGGGGCTGCTCCTTAAATTTAATTTTCTCTTAATTATGTAAAATAATTACATGGCTCCAAAACAGCATTTCTAAAAAAATAGATATTCAAAAACATCTAGTTTCTATCCCTATCTCCTTTATATCCTATTCTATCACTCTCTCCTTAGATAATTAATTTTTTTATGCCACTACTGTTTTAAGTAACCATAGTTTAGTCATAGTTTATAAGTAAATATATATTTTATGATTACCAACTGTCATTAGGTAAAAGTCTCTCTAATTATTTTGGTTGTCGGAAACTCATTCTGTTGATTATATAATAGATTCCTCAGGAAAGTCTCATGTGAACAATATTCCTAGAGTTTTTGCATGACCCTAACAGGTTATCAGTGCTCCCTATACCTGGAGGTATACTGTGTATATATATATTTTATTACATGGTATATGAGACAGACTTTATCCTGATATTTAATGGTCTGACAGTTACTCTAATAATCTAACTAAAAATGAGATCAGGATGTTAAGTAAAATTCTAGTTTATCCTACCTTATAAGGGATTTTCTCTTGATCAATTCAACTCACATTTAAATTCACCAACACAATCCCTCCCAACTCCTATAATTTCTGTACTTATTTAAACACTTTTTTTTGCCTTTAATTTTAATCATCCATTTTTTGCCTATCTGGCTAAAATCTACTTTTTCTTTTTAAGCTCAAACATCACCCCCTTTATGAAACTCTTCCTCTCAGCTCTGTTGAGAGTTGTTTCTGGAGCTGTTTCCTTCTCTGACATCTCAAGTACTTTGTGCTTATTTTATCGTAATAATTCCATAATTAAAATTCTTTGTTTATATGTCTTTCTTCTCCCTAGATGGTAAATATCCTAGAGGTAGAGACTGTTTCTTATTTATTTTTACATATCTAGTATGTCAGATAGCCAGCGATCCATTCTCCTCTTCTGTCTTCCTAGCAACACCCAACTATTATTTGGAGTGATAAATGTGCCTACAACAGACACTGCTAGCTGTTTCCCATCTGCCCTCCTTTTTGCTACATGAAATGCAGATGTCATGGTTGGAGCTCTCAAAGCCACCCTGTAAGCATAAGGATAAGAGCAACACCCCAGGGAGATATAAGGAAAACTCAGGGAAAAAGCTGACTCAGGCAAAAAGTAGAGCAGCATATAGTCCTGGGCTTTGGGTATTGTGAGAGAAAAATAAGAACTTACTAAAGCAACTATTTTTCAGTTACATTACTAGTAACTAAACACATTCCTTACATATATACCTGGTACTCAATAACTACGGAATAAAGCATTCGAAGAATGAAGTTTGCCAAAAATGAAATAAGGAGCTTGTACAGGAGCATATGCCCCATAAGCGAGCACTTCAGAAATGCTGACTAACATTTGTCTCTCCTCTGCTCCACTGAGAGAGGCCATGACATCTTCTCTATGGCCGGAAAGACACTGGTGCAGAAGACAATGCCTCTACCCGGTGACACCACCATGCCACCATGCTGATACTCAAGGAAAGGGTCCCACTGAAATCTCTGTTTATAACATTTACTGGAATCAAGGAAATAAAAGATTTGTATAAAGTTGGAAGGAAAACAGTCAACTGTTCAGAAATACTAGCAAACACAGAAAGAGAGCTTAAACTATTATAACAGAACTTCAATAATTTAAGTAACGCTGCCACCATGTGGCACTTAATCCCTTCTTTTAGAAATAAAATGTTAAAAAGATGACTGTTGCTATGTGCGTTGTTAACTTTTTAAAATATATAAGCTATAAACAACTTTAGTTTTAAATATTAGCCAGTTTTTCTTTTCTTTCTTTCTTTTTTTTTTTTAATTAATTATTTTATTTAACAAATCCTTCCCAGTCTGTTCCTGTCTCCACTCCCCACATGCTATGCCTTCTGCCTGGAATGCCTTTCCAGACTCCCCTTAATCTGGTGCCCAAATGCCCTTGTCCTTTAAATTTATTTATTTAAATTAGTTTCAAGTATACATTACATTGGTTAGACATATATATAGTTCATGAAATGATCCTCCCAATTGCTCCCTACCTCCCCTGGCCCTCCACTTAGCTATCATATATGAATGCTAACTGCATCCCCTCTGCCGTGCTCCCCATCCCCGTGACCAACTATCAACTACTAATTTGTACTTCTTTAACCCGTCACCCCATTCTCCCAGCCCCCCAACCACCCTCCCCTCTGTCTGTCAGTTTTTCTTAAAGCGAACTACATTTAAATGGTATAGAAAAGACAAAATGTCAAGGAAGAACTGATATCTCTGCTTCACTATTCCTCTCTGTCTAACAATGCAATTCTGGGTGAAGATCACTTGTAGTAATTAGAGGATATTATTGTTTGGACCAAGATAGAAAAGAATAGTAAATAATATAGATATCCTTTTAACTCTAAAGTTTTTAAAACGCTTTCAGATTTTCTCCTTCAATTTGAGGGGAAATGTTAGAATATAATATACTGAAAAGTATACGTAGGACAGCTTCCATGCTACACTTAATCTTCAGGAAGACCAACTGGGGAGGTTACTATGTGAAAAGACTGGATAAGGTATATGTCGAGAAAAGGAATTATATTATATTTAGTTGAAAATAATGGCTCAAACTTAGCTGACAAAATATTTTTGAGTCCTTCAGAGACCATTCTTCAATGACAATATAAGAATGCCTTGCTTCATGAAGGATGGGTCTGTGTCTGTCTTATTCACAGATATAGCACTGCTTCCTGACATTTTTCACACAAAACAAGTGCTTACGACATTTAAATAAGCTTATATTATCATACCCAGTATGAAGTCTTATTGTTTAGGAAATATATTCCTCAGATAATGCTTACACCATTTGCTTAGCAAATTCGTATTTCCTTTAAATATTAAAAAAATTGAACTCAAATTCATAAAAATATTGTAAATTCTGATTAGATTTTTATTTGATTGTACTTGCTACAATTTGTCTCTTAATGTTAACAGTTACCAATATATGTCTAATAACTATAAACCAGAGATTTTAAAAATATTATTTAATTTTCACAAAACCTCTGCAATATATACTATTGTTCCCATTTTTAAAATAAGAAAACTAAACCTCAGTAAAGCAAGTAATCATAACTAGCAAGAGGAATACCAGGATTTGAACTCAGATATGTCAAGTTCCAAGGCCCATGTTCTTTCTACTCTTCAACACAGCCTCCTCTCCAAAAGGATCTCAGAGGACTTAACAATACAGAATGCAGATACAGTTGTCCCTTGGTGCACATAGAAGACTGGTTCAAGGACTCCCCTGCAGATACCAAAATCCAAGGATGCTCAAGTCCCTTACATAAAATGGCATAGTATTTGCATATAAACTAAGTACATCCTCCCATATATTTTATAGCATCTCTAGATTACCTTAACACAATATAAATGCTTTATAAATAGTTATTATACTGTATTATTTAGAGAATAATAACAAGAAAAAAAAAAGTCTGTACATGCTCAGTACAGACACAACTATTATAAGCCTAACTACATAATACATGTCAGCAATGTTAACTTTTTTTTCTTGAATATTTTCAATCCGCAGATGTAGAATCTGCAGATATTCTTGTCCTCTCAGACACGTGCTCTTGGCAACTATCTTCTATCCTACTTAAAAGGGGTATTGGCTTCAACAGGAAGTGAGTTCTTGAATATGACATACTCAACAGCATATATGTAACACTTCTTTCATCTTCCATTAAAGACTCAGTTTCACTTGTATAGCCCTTTCACAGAAACCATCTGTATTATTTAAAGAACACTGATATAAGTATAATGACACCTGTATTCTAGGGATAATTCAGCCACTAATTAGCTGCATGACTTTTCACACATTACTTTCCATCTCTGGGCTCAGTTTCTATGAAGTGAGGGAGTTGGATTAGAGAATCCATCTTAATTTCAAAATTCTATGCTTATTTTAATATAAAGTAGATCTTTAAAGGTATATTTACAAAATCTTTTTAAATAAAAACTATTCAGTTTTCAAATTAACCAGACTAGCAAAAAAAAAAAAAAAAAGACTTATGAAAAAGATGACTTATGACATCTGAATGTCACAAAACCCAAGTTTTAGTCCAAGTTCTGCTACTTGTTCTTCTGAATCATAGTAAGCACTTACAGTGCAACAGACATCATTTTAGGCATTTTGAATAAAACAGAAAATAAGAAAGATAAGTCTCTATTCTCATTGTGCCTATATTCTAATGAAGACAGATAATAAACAAGTAAATAACAAGAAAACTATCAAGTAAGACAGAATTCTAAGATGGCTCCTGAGATCCCCAATCCTAGAGTATGCACACCTTTTCTCAGTTATTCAAGCAAACCCTAATCTAATTGTTGCTGTGAAGATATTCTGCAGATATATTTAAGGTCCCAAATCAGTTGACTTTAAGAAGGGGAGATTATCCTCAGTGGGTCTGACTTAATCAGGTAAGTCCTAAGAGGAACTGGGCTCTTCTTGGCAAGCATGAGAGGATTCCATGTGACAGAGACTCCATTTATGGCTTTGAAGATGGAATGGGTTATGTGGCAAGGAATGTGGCCTTTAGGAGCTTACAGGGGCCCCAGGCTGACAGCAAGCAAGGAAATGGGAACTTCCTTTGACATAGCAAAGAACTGAGACCTGCTATAATCACATGAATCAGAAAGAGAACTCAGAGACCCAAAAAAGAACAGTCTGGCCAACAGCTTGATTTTAGCTTTGAATGACTCTGAGCAGAGAACACAGCCAGACTTTATTCTCACTACTTTATTCTACTTTAGTCTCACTAAGAAATTGGTAATAATCTTTATATAGCATAAGGAAATAGTCTCTGGATAACTTAGAGTGTACCACATTATTGTTATCCTACAATAATACTGATGAAGATAACTAACAACTATTCCTAGGTACCAAATAATATTCTAAGATACACAGATACAGACACATGTGTGTGTGCACAAACACCTATTTTTAATCTTCACAATAACTCTGAGTGGTAGGTATTATGCAGATTTGAGTAACAGAGTCTGCTGAACTCAGAAATAGTTATCTAATGCTGCAGCTCTGTCTCTCAATCTTTAGTACCCTATACCATGGGCTCTGTAGTTTTAAATAGTATAAGAAGGTTTTCTCCTTTTGGCAGGTTTAGACTTCCTATTTGGTTAGAGTCTCATTTGAAAATAGAACCCAGCTTACACAGAAGCACAAAATTATGTAACACTATTTACTATCTATCCAACAGTAGCTTAGGATGTTACTATTTAATGCACAGTGAACCAATTATATATGTATCAACAACAGTAACATGAAACAGGATGGCAGGCTGGTATCAGAATGGCTGGAACACAGCATGCACGGTGAGATGGCAGATGGTGAAGCTAGAAAAGTAGGGGCCGGGTCATAGAAGGATGCTTAGATGTTATCCTGTAGTGAAATAATGTCAGAGCACTCTGGCAGCTGAGTAAAGATTGAATTTGATTGGGTTGATAAAGCAGGCACACAAGTCAGAAGGGATAGAGATTTATGAGGTAACATCTAGAAGACTTGGACACTAAATATGGGTCCTAAGAGGGAAAGAACAGCCAAGGATGATTCTCAGGTATTAACTTGAGTGCATTGGGTGGGTGCTAATAGCCCAACTGAGAAAAAATATATAGAAAATGGGTCTGGAAAATCTAGACTCATCAGTCTTTAAAATATTTTTTTTCACTATATCTCACTGTGTAGATGAAAACAAACAAACAAAAAAGACTGATAAACATTAAATCCCCCAGAATAGACAACAGAACTTGAGTCCAAGTCACCTGTTTCCTAGTCTTGTGCTACTTCCATTAATGGTAATGACTCTTAATCAGTTTACTTTGTCTATTTTATACAGACATGAATAGAAAACATAAAGTTTAAAACTAGAGGATTTCTCTTCTGTGTATTAACACACTAACAGAGCAGTATTTTTACAAAATACATTTTAAATACTCACTTCAAATTCTTTCACGAAATAACGAGTTTCACCTTGAATAACTGGTCTGTGATCTAAAAGCCTTGAATGAATTTCTCCAAGATCTGTAAAGACAAAATGAATTCAAGGTTAATCCACGCTAAGTGGCATAATCTCTAGCTTATTTTACTCTTCCCATTTTTCATGAATATGAAGATTAAAATCTAGTTTAGACTATGGATTAAGAGGAAATCTCATCCATTGCCAGTAAATTGATATAAGTACCTTTGAGAGCAATTTGCTATTATTTAATAAAGCTGAAGACATGTATACCTAGCAACTTCATGCCTACCTATGTGCTCTAGAAAAACTCTTCACTTATAAGTCGCTATACTTTTTGATAGGTCTAAAAAAGTCATAATTAAAGAAAAAAGTTCTGGATTTTAACTGTTTTCGGTGAGTCATTCTATTCATTCTAGTTAGTAACAACTATATAAACCCATTTCCCATTTGCCCAGCGAATACTCGCAAGTGGTGCTTGCAGCTGCAGAGTTTACTCTGATAACTCATGCATTACAGACCTACCCTCAAAGTCTACCACGGAATATCTTGCTTTTATTATCATTTTCGCATCGCTATAGTATATCAATAGTCTTTGGAAACAAATGACATCATTCTATTTATAGCACTCTGTTTTCAGTAGTGGTATTTCCATTTACAAAATATACTAATTCTCGATTGCTGAAAATGTCAAATCCTAGAAAACAGCATTCCTACACACGATGCTAACATCGTTCTCGATCAGTTGTTAGCCAAAGATTCATCTGATGAATCCAATTTATGTATACATTTCTGTTACATTTGGATGAGAGACAAGTTCTGTTTAGAACTAATTCCAAGAACACTTTTTATTTTTTATTTTCACATTGAAAACCAGTCATATTTGCTTCAGCCTCAAAGAGTATCTTTACGTAAAATTAAATTAACATTGGCAGTGAGCTACACCTTTTTTTTTTTCTAAATGAGAAATAGGTTAAGAGATAAACTTCAAAATTCCTAGAGAAATTAAATCTCCAAATAAGAACACGTACCATTCATGTTCACTCTTTGGTATAGTCTGTTGCTCAAATTTCTTACTTTTGCAAACATGCAATGGGGCAAATTTCAATTCTCTATTTTAAGGAGTTTTACTAGCATACATCTTGGGAAGTATGCTAAGTAAAAGAATATAAACAGAAGTACTACTTTTGCTTAAATCTTTCAATGGTTCATTATCTAGAACAGTTCTCTAAGAAGATAATAGGAGTTCATTTTTTAAAAAAATTATGCTTAGTTAAATTTGGGAAACATTAGATAAAATCAAGTTAGATTCTTTCTCCTCTGATATTCTGGGACCCTAGAATATACGTACACAATTTATGAATGCCCAAGTGAGGGCTATACTACGCAGAAATTTAGGGACTTTATTTGACAAGAAAACCTATTTGCAAAGAATATTTATTCATACCTCATTGAACACCAGCATCTTTGAAACCAACTGGTAAGAGTCTAAAGTCCAAGCCTCTTTAGAAGCCACATAAGGTCCTCCAGGGCTCCAGCCTCATCTCCCCATGTCAGCAATTCTGAACTATTCACAGTTTTCCAAACACACCATGCTGTCTCACGTGCCTTTGCCACAGTTCACACTATTGTCACCACCTAGAACCATTCTCCAACTCCTTAATCCCGGCTCTTCCTTCAAAACTGCTCAGACATCACATTTCCTCAAAATATTCATTCATTTTATTTCTACTTTTTGCTCCCAGGCCATATACTTACATTATACCACTTACTATATTGTCCTGAAATTCTCTCTTCTCCAGTGACCAAATAAATTATTTATAACATCCACAGTGGATATATAAGTTAACATATATTTTTCTATATGACTAAGAAGCCACTGAGCTTTGTTGATTTGAGGAGATCTGTTTATGTGGCCTTATATAATGGGAATTTACTGAGCCTTTGGAGAGATCATTCAATTCTGTTTAGAAGTGAATAATGATCACTTTTACAACAACACCTGTGCTCCAGAATTTAAGATAGTAAAGATTTGAGGAGAAAAAAAATTCTGAAATACACATAACCACAGAAATTAAGCTACTAACTAGTTTTGTTATAACATTATAACAATAAAACAAGCACATTATAATAATTCAGAGTTTGTAGGAGTCCCAAAGATTACAAATATATTCTCTACAAATAACGTAAATATAAGCTACAGATTTTCACATAAGTCCAGCCCTAGCTTTGCAACATGCAAATGATTCTTTTGTTGTTTGATATACGAAAGGTATAATCTTTTATTTTCCAAAAGTTCATACTCTAATGTATGTGAGAGTTATACAAATATCCCTTCACATAAAAGAGATAAGTACTTTAATGGAAGATGGATATGCTATGTGACTACAGAACAAGGAGGAATACAGTAAATTGCAGATCTCTCATTATCTAATAAAAGCAGTTTTTCCTCTGACCCTGAATTTGGAGACCTTTAATGTAATATGTGAATTTCTGCACCTCTTAAGGAATAATTTAGTACACAGCAATTTTTTCCTCATAATACCCATTGCATTACCATACAGATGTTATTCTTCCTCACTACTTCTCAAATCCATCCCCTCCTTCCATTCCTGCATGTCTCACTTGGACTACATCAACAATTAGTCACATCCCTCTATTACCTACTCTAGAGTCAATTCTCATTATCTGCAGTGGTAATGTTTATAAAGTTGCCTCAAATACTAAACTAGTGAATACTAACTACTGCTCCTAAAGGAAATACAGGGTGAGGTTCCTGCAAGCCTCTGGTCACATTTTGGTCAACCAAAACACTATTTGTTTCATACAGGTTTGTTTATTAAGATCCTGGTAAAACACACGAGTCTTAGTATTGAAAATCTGCTCTTCCAATAATACTTTTTCCTATGTAACACTTAGCAGTTCTTCTACAGCCTCCTGATCTGCAGAACCTGCTTCACCTGCAAGTCTAACATTTTTCACGTTATACCACCTTTGACAATGCCAGCCAGCACTAGCCCAGAAAAGTTTAACATTTTCCTGACCCTTGTTAGCTGACCATAAATTTCTTTGGCTTTCAGCTTCACAATGGTGCTATCCACTATGCTTTCTCTATCAGTCATTATCTCACAAATTTAAGGGCTTTTCCATTGCTTCATCACACTATTAATGTTATCCTGGCACTTTCCAGAGTGGCCCCACAGATTAGTAAATTTCCTTCTTTTTTCTGGATTGTTGATTAACATCGAACATAGCAAACAGCACTGTCACTCATGTCCAAAAGTAACTTCTCTGACACAGGTATTTTCTCTGTAAGGCACATGACAGCCTTCTTGTGCTTATGGATTTTTCAGTACTACCTCTGAGGATCATTTTAAACAGTAAAATCACCAATAAAAAGCACAAAAGTATAAAAAGTATTGTACTAAATAGAAAGCAAAAAGGACACTTGTATGAGAGCCAAAAAATAAAAGCAGAGTGCTGCCCTGTTCAATCTCATCTATGAATGTGCACATAGGGCAACTCAAAATGTTCTCTACTCTACATATGTGGAAATGACTGTGAAAGAACCACCAATAGATTTTTGAATTATAAATTTATCTCAGCAAGTAGGCAAATTCACAAATATGCAACCCGCAAGATGAGGACTACTATCTGCTTGAGTGTTCTACTTAAAATACAAATCTAACCGTGTGATTCCCACACTTAAAATTGTTGCATAATTTCCTGCCATCGAAGAAAAAGTCCAATGTCCTCAAAAAAGCAAGAAGTCCTCTATGGCCTGGTTTCCACCAAATTCTGCATCTCTCAGAGTAACGCTGTACCAATATGTGTAGTTTCCCAAACATGCCATGCTGTTTCAGGTCTCCATGCTATTCCAAAGTAAGTCCAAACCATTCTTGTCCTCTTTTCTTAACTGCTACTACTTTATTCCTCAAGATTCAGGTCAGACACTCCAACCTCCAGGAAGCCCCTCCTGTGTCCTAGTCCCCGCCTCCTAACACCCACCATGGGCCAGAAACCCCCAGATATCCAGGGTGTAGTATTGAAATCATTTATGTTTTCCTTTCACTAGACCCTGGCAATAAAATTCAACAAATATCTGTTCACAATTGATGATCTTCAAATAAGGAACTAAAAATAGATTTTCAGCATGAAAAGAATGAATGCGTCCATTAAAAATCCAAGGAGGTTCTAGACATATTTTCAATTACAACTCAATTTTTGATTAACTTGAAAAACCTCCCTTGAATTCTTTTTTTTTTTAAGTACTACATCAAAGTCAAAAATTGTACATCAAAGGAGTCAATCAACAGAGTGAAAAGGCAACCTACGGAATGGGAGAAAATATATGCAGATCATGTATCTGAAAAAGAGTTAATATCCAGAATATATAAAGAACTCCTACAACTCAACAACAGCAAAAACAAACTATCTGATTTAAAAATGGACTTGAATAGACATTTCTCCAAAGAAGCTAGACAGATGGCCAATAAGCATATAAATAGATGCCGAACATCATTATTCATTAGGGAACTACAAAGCAAAATTATAAGATACTACCTCATACCCATTAGGAAGGCCACTACAAAAGAAATAGAAAATAACGAGTATTGGTAAGGATATGGAGAAACTGGAACTCTTATGCCTTAACAGTGAGAATGTAAAATCGTGCAGCTTTGAAGGAATTAAGTATGGTGATTACTCGAAAAATTTAAATATATAATTATCTTTGATCTAGCAACTCCAGTTCTGAGTATAAACTCAAAAAAAAAAAGAAAAGAAAGAAAGCAGGTACTCGACAGTTATTTGCATAACCATGTTCATCGCAGCATTATTCACAATAACCAAAAGGTGGAAGCAACATGAGTGTTCATCTACAGATGAATGGACACGCAAAATGTAGTCACACACACACACACACACACACACACACATACACACACACACACACACACTAGAATGTTAGCTTTAAAAAAGAAATTCTGACACATGCTACAACATGGACAATTTGAGGGCATTATGTTAAGTGAAATAAGCCAATCACAAAGAGATAAATAGTATGATTACACCTCATATAAAAAGTAAAGTACTTAGATAGTCCCATTCAGAGACAAAATAGAATGAATGGTGGTTGCCTAGGGGCTGAGGGGAGGAGAGAATGAGAAGTTAGTGTTTAATGGGTACAGAATTTCAGTTTGAGAAGATGAAAAAGTTGTGGAGATAGATGGTAGTGATCGAGGCACAACAATGTGAGTGTACTAATGCCACTTAAATATACATTTAAAAATGGCTAAGATAAAATTTTATTACATATTTTTTAAATTTTAAGTAGTTTACTAAGAATGCACATATAAACAATTATAATTTAGTCCTAACGCCCATGCACCACTCTCACATCCTAATGAGATCTGAGAGACAACCTCAAGTCTAGAAATTGCGATGGCCATCTGTGTGGGGCTGCCTACATTCCTGACAGATACTATTAAAATTAAATAAGCAGCAATCAAGGACTGTGGAATCCTACAAGGGCGTCAACACTGCACTGAGTTGGGGCTGACAGGGTAAGGATGGGGTTAAGAAAGGTTAGTGATGAGAAAGTGCACTAACTGGCGAAGACCTTGCTGAAGGAAACAGGGTTTTTGTGAGCTTTGGGAATCAAACTAAATCCAGTTTCTGTAAGAATACAGGTTGTAATTAGGTCGTAACCTTCTCCCAGCTCAAAGCAGAAAGGACAAAAGGTACACCTGCACAAGGGCACGGCGCTTTAGTGTTAAGAGGCTTCCATGTTATCTCATTTACTCCTTTCATGACCCAGGAGCAGACAGGGTCAGTGGGTAAAGCGAACGACCTAAAGTCACACAACTCCTAAGTGAAATGCCTGGGGGTGCACTCCCAACCTCTGTGCTCCTTGCATTACAAGTCGGCTGTGAGGCCGTGCCCACAGAGGCTCCGTGCCCATGGGTCCCCGGTTTGGGCCCAAAAGCTCAAGTCTGCGGGGTTTTGTTTTGTTTTGTTTTCAGGAAGTAAGAGGAATTAGGTTAGCCGGTAGTTACTAGGAAGTACCTGGTGCAGAGAAATAGACGAGTACTGGCCACGACTCCCCTAACCCCAATAAACGCGAGGCCACGGGACGCGGGCGACGGCCCGTACCCCAGATCCCCAGGTTAGAGGGCGCCGCCTAGGCAAGGTGGGGTTGCGCTGGGATCCACCAGGGCGATTGCCCTAAAACTCCGTACCCTTAATAATGAGGTGAGCTGGCGAGCCTGCAGTCCCTAGCGAGTCCCTCTTCTTGTCGCCGCCGCCCAGGGGGGCCTCACACCCCACAGCCATCTCTGACCCTCCGCCACTCATTCCGACCAGCTCCGCCCCCCGCGGCTGCGGTGCGCCTGCGTAAACTTGCTTTGCCCTCTTTCCGGGCGCGGGTTTTGGTGTCATCAAAGGGCGTTGAAGAAGCTGAATCTAGCCAGGGGGCGGTTCCGGTAAGGCCGCTGTAGTGTAATTAGGGATGTGACCTCGTTGAAGCCGATGCCGCCATGCTGGTTTGGGGCATATGCTGCCAGAAGGTGCCTTAAAACTAAATTCTGTTATTCCTCCTTAAACTTGCTGGAATTTATTGTGGTTTAGAGAGGTTGGGGGAGAAGGGATACAGTCGCCGAAAAATGTTAATAATAGTAGCATAATTATATTATTTACATTATTACCTGCCAGTACTTTATAAAATATTTTGACATGCATTGCCACATTTGGGCCATAGCAACTGGGAAGTTTTATTATTTCTTCCTAACAAATGAAGAAATAGGGTTAGAGGTTAAATAACTTGCCCAAATCGCTTACAAGACTCATTCGTGCACACGTAAAGAAAAAAGGTCTGTTCTTGTCTTTTGTGTTTACAAAATCTCAAATAGTTTTTATGTGGGCTAAGAAAAATGCATGTAATTATTGAAAGGACCTGTGTCAGTGTTGAGCTGATCGACAAGGGAAGGTTTCGGTGGTGAGACACCCGGTGGAAAACCCACGAGGGGCGGATCTGAGAATGAAACAGCAGGCACTAACTTTATTGTAGGGAGCTGCTTCTTCTCTTCTTCTGCTCACCAGGGGACCACATGGGCTCCACATATATATGAGTACAATAATGGCATTCTGCCACACATGTGTGATACAATAAGCTGAATTATGTTTACATACGTTAGGCTCAGGCGCCCTACTATGCTAATGTAACATTCTGAATCCGGGGTCCTATTATTAGCGGGGAGCCTGGATCACAGCCAGACCTGGGACCAGCCAGGCCTGAGACTCACAGACCAGCTTGCTAGACTACTTTTAATTGTTCTTGTCATGAGGAGACAACTATGGAGCTGCCATATATCAAACTGCTACTGATAGGTAAACTCCATAAAGTTCATCATGTATTCTCAGCGAGTCTTCATGCCTGTTCAAAGGACAAACACTGCACAGTAGCGCCTCTACCTCCAAGGTTCACCTAGGGGTTCTTTCTAAGACTCATCTCTTAACCCCTCCTGTTCTCTTTCCTCTCTTCCTCTCAGTCACAGGGTGTCAGTCTAGTGTTGAAGAAGGAACATAAACCAACATTTACAAGATAGGGCCTATAAATGATAGGCTGGAAGAAGGTGCAGCACACATGTGGGACTGTGTTAGGGTTAGGGCTGAGAAAGACTTCCCAGAAGAGGCACATATTTGTCCTCAGACCTGAAACAAGTTGAGTGGAGTGAAGATGGGACTTGGGGTTTTCAAGCAGAGGAGATAAGAAGCTCAACAGCAAAGAGGCAAAAAATGATGATTTAAGTAAGAAACAAAATGTAAACTTGGTTAGTTGCAAGTTGTTGGGTCAGTCTTCTAACCTTCGTACTCTTACTTGTATTTCGCTAGCTTTAACATCAACTTCTAGAAAACATAATTATTTTCAAAGCCCTTCGTTATTCTCCCCACTGCTAGGCACTTTTCTCATTCAAGTTTTCTTCACCTGCAATCCTAAATTTCTTCTAAGTTTTTCTTCTTAGTATCTTCAAACCACTGAAAACCCCGAGAAGGCTCACTGTATACAGCAAGGCTGAAGGCTTCTCCTACATTAATATGGCTGTTAAAAATGTAGATTCTGAGTTCCACCTCCAAAAATTGTTTCATATAGGCTAGGGTAGCTGCTAACTCCACTTACCCAATTGCTGATTATGATACAAATGATAAAAACTCTGGATGCAGTAGTTAAACTTTGGAACCAAACAGAATCAGGTTCAAATTGTGGCTTTGCTACTTGCCTGCAGTTCCTTTTCTGTAAAATGGCAATGTAATTTCCATCTCATAAGGTTGTTGTGATGATTAAAGAAGATAGTACCTGTAAAGCACTTGATACAGTGCTTGGCACATAGCAAATGTTCAATAAATGTTACTGTTACAATAACTTCTATCTCCTTTTGTAGCCCTGTATAATCTGTTCTCATTCTTCCAATCTGCCTTTATCACTCCCCACTATATCTTATACTTGTTAAGCACTTTACAATTTATAAAACTATATCACATATCATATATCTCTAAATCTCATTAATCTAATTAAAGTAGGTAATAAAATATTGATTTCCAGATGAGTAAACTGAGGGTCAGAGAATAGGGTAGAGTCTCCAAAGACAGCTGCAATGATTCCCCCATTCCCTGTACGTGCAACATGCTGCTCCTTCCATCAAAAGATGGAGTTTGTTTCCCCTCGAGTCTCTACTGGCCTTGTGACTTGCTTTGACCAATAGAACATGGTGGAAAAAGTGCTGTGCTAGTTTTGGGTCTTAAGACAACTGGAAGTTTCTGCTTTTGCTCTCTTGTTAGAAGTCCAGGCTATACTGTTGTAGAGAGGCCATCATGTAGAGAAGCACTGGAATATGAGATGTTGCATGTAGAGAGATACTGTGTGGGTGAGAGGCACCCTAGCTGTTAGCACCAAGGGCCCCCATATGTGAGGGAAGCCTCCTTGGAGCTTTCAGCCCAGCCATCAGCCAGCTGAATGCAGTCACATGAATTGCTGAGTAAGCAGAAAACTGCCTAATCTACCCACAATATTGTGAGAAATAATAAATTTTTGTTTTCTAATTCACTGTTGTGTGTGTATGTATTTAAACTATGACCACCTCTGAGAGGATTTAAGGTGGCTTATAATGATCCCTATATTCCCACAAGATGGCACCATAGTTATCAAATAGCAGAATCATGGTCAAAGCCCTGGTTTTTCAACTTCGATGCTGGTACAGTCCAATATCACAAAACCCAGTCAGCTGTAAGGTATTTCTACTGTGCCATGACTGTGCCAGACTTATTTTTGCCTCTTTATTTTTAGACATCCCCTTCCTGCAATGCTTTTTTTTTTTTTTTTTTTTTTTGGCCCCCTCTGCTTAGTAAATTTGGTACTTTATTTATGTTGTATAATGAAGAATTTGGCTGATCTTTGTCCCAGTTCCCGGGAGATATCCTCTAAATCCTTGGAATTTCCCAGGTGGGGAGGATAGGGCCTGAAGACTGAGTTTAATCATATGCCCAATGATTCAATCATCCATGTCTACATAATGAAGCCCCAAATAAAACCTCCTGGACACTGAAGCTCCAGTGAACTTCCTGGTCGGTAATCATACACTGATGTGCCAAGAGAGTGAGGAGAACTGAGGGCAAAGAAGCTTCATGTTTGAGCCCCTCAGAGACCTCACCCTATGTAACCATCCATTCGTCTGGTCCTGGTTTGAATCCTCTACTATAAAACCGTAATCATAAGTACACTTTCTTGTGTTCTATGAGTCAAGCACTTTCTTGTGTTCTATGAGTCAATCTACTGAATAACTGAACCTGAGCAAATAAAATAGGCATCCCCCAAATTTGTAGACAGCTGGTAAGTAGCACAGGGGGCCTGGGAACCCCGGAGCTTGTGACTGGTGTCTGAAGTAAGGGCCGTCTTGTGGAGGACGGTGCTCTTCACCCGTGAGAGCTGAGCTAACTCTGGTAACCAGTGTCAGATTTGTGTTACAATTGAACAAACACCTACGTGACACTTATGACATGTCAGATAACGTTATAAGTACTCTACACACATTAATCTCACACAACTGGAATACATAATACAGAAAGATTCCTCGTAAGCTTTGCCTAGTTTCCCTCCGATGATCACATCTTGCGAATGTCAGTATCACAATAAGGATATTGATAGTGATATAATACACCAATCTTATTCAGATTTCCCCAGTTTTACTTCTACTTATTGTGTATGTATATTTAGTTCTGTACAGTTTCTTCATATGTGAAGAATTGTGTGTTCGTCATCACAGTCAAGATACTGAACAGTTTTGAAATCATAAGGATCCCCCATGGTGCCTTTTTGTAACCCCTGGCCCAATCCCTGGCAACCTATATTGTGTCCTCCATCTCTAAAATTTTATCATTTCAAAATATTACATAAATGGAATCATACACTACGTACTTCTGTGGTTTTAAGATGAGTTGTTCTCACCTTCATAACACTATACGAGATCATTTTTCAGAAACTCTCAATATCAGATAGTTTAAAACCATGAAATTATAAATATTACTGTATATTAATCTCATGAAGTTTTGGAAATCTGGCACCGGAGGCCTGAGAGGTAGTTTGCTGTAAAGTGACAGGCTGTGTATTGGCATCGGCGACCTTCTAGGTGGCAGCAACTTTTTAGTTCTGTACTAAACCTTCCTGTGCTGAATTCTGCTTGTTCCCCCTAGAGATGCTTCTGGTGTGGTACATCACTTTGAGAACATGTAATTACTTTGAGAGCTACTACGCAGAGAAACTGTGCTCCTGTGATGGGGCCAAGCAATCAGAATGCAGAGTGCTCTACCACACCTGTCATACCTTCAGAAAATTTGACTCGGCTGTGCAAAAAAGACAAAAACACAAGTTTTTGAATGAATGCAGCTATGCCTGTCACTTAAACTTCAGACAGGTGCAGTACAGTGGTTCTCATGGTATGGTCTCTGTACCAGACCTCTTGAATCAGAAACTCAAATTGTGTTTTCAGATTGCCCAGCAATCTGTGTTTTGAAAAGCCCAGGTGATTATCATGCATGCTAAGGTCTGAGAAGCACGGCTTTATTGCAATGTCTTGTCACCCATTCCTCAAACTTCAGACAATAATAGTTAACTCTAGAGTTCTTTCATCCAAGTGACAGGGCTTAAGTCAAATGCTGAATTGAAAATGGTCAGGAAGAGCAAAGCTGGTGAGGCCAAACGAGAGGGTTAAAAATCTCTAAGGCCCTTTAAGATAAAGAGGTGTGTGTGTGTGTGTGTGTGTGTGTGTGTGTGTGTGTGTTGCAGAAGGTCAGGAAAAATGGGGCAGTGGAGGAAGGATAACCTGTATTACATGCAGAGACTAGTTCATGA